GTTGGCAATCAAATGAGTTACAGGATGTTTTCATTAATTAATCTTGAATTTACCATTTTCATGTTCAGATTTCAGTAGTGAATACCATGTTCTGTCTATATCAACTGAACAAGAAGCAATGCTATTGTCTCCGTTCAGAACGTTCACTACTAAAATCTGAACATGAAAATGGTAAATTCAAGATTAATTAATGAAAACATCCTGTAACTCATTTGATTGCCAACGTCACCAATTGTCATTGAAAACTGAAAAGCTTCAAGACATATTATACGACTTCGCTATTGAAATAATCTCTTTTCATGTTGAAAACGGGAGCAGAATCGGTCCCGAAACGTCCAAAGATAGTTGATATTTTTTCTATATACCTTTATTTCTCTTCTCCAAAATTTTTTCAATACAAATTGTCACTGACAAGCTAGTGAATTTTTCTTTTAGGCTTTCTGATAGGAAAATTCTTTAAACGCAGTGACATTTTGGGGCAAATCATCTGATTTGTCCTTACTACACGTATATTGAAATAATATTCATATTTTTATTTTATAGAAACGAGGAGAGAAAATTCCAAAAAATTTGGAATAATGGATAGAAAATAATGATTATGGAGGTGCTAATATTTTCTATGTTGTGTATTTATCACCAACACACACGTGACCCTGACCGAGTAAGCCATTATTTATTCTTTTCAAAGCACTTGACGTGTCGAATTTCAAAATAAATTATTTTTGACAGTTGTTCCCATATGGTGCCAACTCTATGAAAGACACTGTTATAATATCTCTACTATCACCTTCATTTCAGGACGTACTGATTATGACCAAAGGGTGGAAGTGGTGTTGGACCTGTGCGACGTCAAACACGCGATACCCACTACCGAATTGACAGCCGGTCAAGGCCATCGTGATCCCCACCACTTCCGTTCTTTTTTTTTTCTATTTTCAAAAATAAAAGGGTTCTAGAGGGTGGTACTTCACAAATGTCAGCCGGTACGTTCGAAACTGAATCACTATGTTTAATACAAAAACGTCAAGAAAATGTCAAATCGATATATGTCTTTACCCTCGATACTAACAAGGCCTGAAGGCTCGTTGTGAACAGCTAGTGACGTCAGCTAACTGAGGCCATCCATCCATCGCGTGATTGTTCGCGTGTCGATTCACGACTGTCGTCAGTTTGTTTAGGTATGTTTGAGAATCCGTCGCGTGCCCGAATTCTTTCGTTATTTATTCATCAAAATAATTGGCAGAAAAATTACTATTTTGTGAAATATTTTGTGTTGTGATAGGCGAAATAACAATGCCTTTCAAGTGTTGTGTTCCCTTTTGTCTGGAGAATTATGTGGGTGATCCAAAAGTTCATGCTTTTAGTTTCCCGTTGGACAAGGAACTATCGAAAAAGTGGGCATATGCAATTCACCGCGAGGATTCTACTCCATCTAAGTACAGTAGAGTATGTGAATTACATTTTACCCCTCCTCAATGGCAAACGTTTGAATGATGTGTTTCAAGAACCTATCACAGCTATACATTTTTGTTCCGATTAAAAATTCATTTTCTTGTATATAATGATAGAAACTTGGAAATCTGCAAATTCTACTAATAAACTAACACACCATTCACACTATACAGGCTGATTTTAAAATAAGTGCATATATTTCAAACACTAAGAAAGCTTGAGGTATACTACCGAATAGCACTATTGAAAATATTATTAGGATCAAAATAGATTTGGGCCAAAATACCCTTTTTCCGCCCAGATTTCTACTTCTGTCACAACTATCGTTTGCGATCCGCAGTCGACCGTGATGAACGAAGCGACGTTGCCACTCTACATGAAAATTAGGAGATATTTAATAAAATGTATAATCGAGAAAATGTACATGGGAAAGAAGTTAACCCTGGTCTTGAATTTCAGAAAGATAATACAAAAACTTTAAAATGGACTCACCCAAGATTTCTACACATAAGCTCGAAAACCGTATAACTTAACACCTCACGGTTGAAGTTCTTTTACTGAAAAATCCTTTAGACCCTTCCTTCCACCTCCTCGCATCGCTACAATTTCGTGTCCTTCGAGGAGTCTCATGGGCCCCGCACAATAACGACCCGACATAAGAACCATATCATTCAGCTCAATGTTTGAGAAATGCATCGTCGCATTCCAAGCAAATTGTCAGAAACAAAACTTTACATTTACTAGTATCACGTTTTGACGTTTTCCAAAATAACATACATTCTCAGAACAACAAACTGTCAAGAAAGGATCTTTGTTTTGATTGTTCTTATGGTGTGCTACCAGCAAGAAATCAGATGACCATGAATTACTAATAGGTGACTTTTACGGACCAATCAGAAACAGCAAAGTAGTGCCTGCTTGGTTGCGATTCATCCTGATTGGGCACAGGTGATTGAGATTAATGTATTAGTGAGGAAGGATCATATCTTCAAATGAAACTACCATTTTCATAAAAAACTAATTTGGAAAAAACATCTATTAGTTTAATTCAATGAAATGATACTTCCTCACTATACACTAATCTCACAAATCCAATCAGCTGTGTCCAATCAGGATGAATCGCAACCACGCAGGCGCTACTTTGCTGTTTCTGATTGATCCTTAGAAATCACCTATTATTAATTCATAGTCATCGGAATTCTTGCATCCGAAACGGTCAGAAGCATGCGCAGTTTCACAGAACTGTATGATTTTTTGGGTTCTGTGGACTTGTGTATGCTTCTGACGGTTTCGGATTGTTTATTTTCTGAACGCGAGCAATCCTAGTTAGTACTGTCAAAGGTCACAGCAAAGAAGAAATCTATGGTCACAGATACTACTGTTCTGAGAAATGATGTTGACAGATCATATGATAATAGTTTTGTTTGTGTGGTTGCTGGTTTGTAAAATAATTGTAAACGTAAAATAAAAAATAAAATAATTTGATGTTGTGTCTTGTGTCGTGATAATCGTGATATGGTCGTGATCGTGTTTCTCAATGTGAGATTGCCAGGAAGGATATGTCGTCGTCGAGTCGTTTTCGATGGTTTAAGTGCGAATATGAACCAACAAGAACACAGGACGATATTAGTCTGGAATGGACTCTGTGTACCTATTTATTGTCTGCTAATTTTGTATCTACCCGCTGGGGCCATATTTTCGAATTGAAGGAAGGGGGACGTTCTATTCCCCTCATGTTTCTCTCCGTCTCTCGTGATCCATGGAGATAATCACCCCACAGTTCTCTCAGTAAACTTTAAAAAATAAGGCTCCTGTACATATTACATTCACCTCTATTAGTTTCCATAGCCTCTTCCAATTCATATTCATTCTGTGACAAATTTTTATCAGGATATTCGTCTCTGAAACAATCTGGCATCACTGTCTTGTTATGACGTTAGTGAATGACTAATTGGGGATTTCCTGGGATTCCGCAGATTTCACTTGCTTCCCAGTGGCGTACTCGAATTTCGAAGCATTTTATGTTCAATTTTCAAAATGAAATTTCTCTTTAATGTGAAGACTTAGGAAAAATCAAATATTTTAGTAATTTTTGTTAGACTCTCTCAAATATATGTCTTGAATATATGCACTCATTTTAAAATCAGCCTGTATATGGAATGACAGATGTTATACAATATTGTTTTAACATACTCAAGATGAATTATGTTTTACTAGGAAAATTTCAAACAGATGATTTGGAACATAGGTTCGGGAAATATCGTCAACTTCCAGGTGTACAATATCACATATCTATTCGACAATTGTATAATTCGGAAAAAAGGTTTAGAATTCAATCACTGCTCACGCTAAAATCTCGTTCTTACGGTAATATACAAATCAGGCGCTTCCACGGAAATATTGATTTCACCGAAGAAATACAAGAAAATCATTCTTTCAATCCAGATATTGTAGTCGAGGAATCTGATATAGATAAATATAGTGATGACATGCCGGTAATAACCTATTCAGCAGGTTAGTGTTGCTATATCACACTTAGAAAAAGTCAGTGCGAATTTTGTGAACAGAATTTAATTTATAATGATGAATTCATAGTAGAAGACGATTACTCTCTCGTAAAAAGTATGAGTAGAGGAAAATTACTCTATCCGCCAACTTTGATTGTGCAGTTAGTTTTGTATTCGTTTATTATATTCAACTAAATAATCTTTGAATTCGAGGAAATATTCTTGAATGTTCATAATTAACGGGCATTTTTAACTCAATACATTCTCAAATTTCTTTCTGAAAACGGTCATTTGCCTCGTGGCAATGAACGCCTTTCAATGATCAAATTGCAATTATCACATTAACATGTACTACAAACACTCTAATTGAAAATTACTGTTTCAAGTCTGACGATCAATTGAGTAAAAAATCCAACAGGAAATTGTTAACACTCACTGGCTAATTCATTAGCTGATAGGAATTCTCCAAGATAAATATAAGTAATTATAACAAACGGCATGTCTATCAAAATGAAATACATTTTTCCCAATTTTCTTTCGATCAATCTCACGATAAGTTTATGTTCTGAGGGCCCTGTATGAGAAGGTGTGAAGTTTACCTCTAATGAGATTGAATCACTACAATTTTTGACAATATATTTGATTCGAATGGGTTACTGTAGGTGGGTATTTGTGTTTTATTCTGGGTTTTACTTTGAAACTTCGTTTTTCCATAATCAAATCGAATGGGATGCGAAGAAGGGCTCAGTTGACAACTGGCATTCTCTCTTAACCGGAAGCCCTTCAAAAAAAACAGCAAAATCAGCTCAATGATGATCTGAAATGAAAATTGAACTACACAGTCGCCCCATAGCGCCATAAGCACTTGTCGGTTCGAGCGGCTGTTAGGCCTCACTAAGGTGACGGCACCACGGGGCCTGCAAGCCTTGTTATATCGGGGGTAACGTATGAGTACCATAGAAATTACCATTCTCATTATCGCCTGGCGTCTGTTTCCCTTGATGACAACATTCGACATCAGTGTTATTACCGTTGTTTCAGGACCTACTGTAATTACGACAAAAGAGTGGGAGTGGTGTTGGACCTGTGCGACGTCAAACACGCGATACCCACTGCCGAATTGAACAGGTGGATCGGCGAGCCAGTCAAGGCCATCGTGATCCCCACCTCGTTCTTCCTGGCCAACCAGCACGGCAAGCCGGTGCTTTCGCGGTTGCATCAGGACATTATCAAGAAATTCATCAGCGTGGACGTACAGTACATCATCAAGAACGATACCGAGGGCGATTTGACGCTCTACGTTAGGTACCTCAACTTCTTGGGTGAGTGCTTCGCTTTGAATTTGTATTGTCGATCATCTTCCTAATATCCAATATTCATTTTCAATGCTTTCATACTTAATCAAGGGGTTCAAACTTGAAGGATGGAAGCTTGTTATTTTTATTGACCTCTAATCGCAGATTCGTGATTGGGTATTCATAATTCAGTTCTTTTTCCGCGCCCTGTATGATGAATATCAATTCATCATACATCCAAAATCCAAACAATCTTCATAATGGTTCGTTTATTCAACAGATTTTTAAATAATAGGAATATTCATTTCAATGAGCCAGTGAACTGATAATGAATTATTGACATTCAGTTACTTCACTGTCTTGGGGACCTATAGTTATTTTTGTATCTAGAGCGTGAAATGCTACTTTTTGGTGATTGAGATCTGATTTTTGTAACGAGACGTAGCCGACTTAAAAAAAATACGAGATGACCAAAGTATTTCGCGCTCAGTCGCAAACAAAATTTTTTCTACAAATGTCAAAAAATATAGTTCTGAAATGAAAATATGCTCAGTTTGATATAAAAATAGTGTTGAACTGGCTTAAAAAGCCTCCCCCTTTCCTCCCTAGGTACGCACGATGTTCCACGAACATAATGGAATTTCCTTTCGTGTGCTCCAAGAGATGAAACAAAGTTATTGTTGATCATTCAGAAATGAATGATTTCGTGGATGTTCGCTCGATTGAGGACCATAAAGTTGAAGTATAAATATCTCATATATTTAAAATAACAATGCGTGAAGTAGGTACTTCGCGCACTGTTTTACTTCGCGCATCGTTTTGTGCAAGGTATCATGGTAACTTAGGAAACTGAAAAAAAGTGTCACTTCGCAATGTGTTATCAATGCGCGAACCTTGTAAATTTTTGACGTTTGTAGAAAAAAATAATTTTTGCAGCACTTCGCACGCTTTTTATATGTAAATGATGAGTTTGGCGGGCGGTTAACTAACATACTTCATAAAGTGTGCTTTATGAAGTGAGTTTTCTAACATATGCTTTCAAATGAATTGACTCACACTGCTACAAGGTCCTCCAATTGTCGTCGATCGTGCGCAGTTTTTGTTAGAAATTCTGACTGGTTTGTAATTATTATGGAGTAAAATCAAAAAACTCATCTAGACATTGTGCTCTATGAGCCTATAGTGTATAGATGGATCTGAAAACATGGTTCCGTGGTGCATTTGTTTTTATTTCAAGGAATGAATAACGGATCAGTGATTGTCAGAATCGAAATTCATTTTATATTGGTGATTTTTTTATTCTTTATGAAAATAAAAGTATGATTATGGTCAATCGATTTGTACTACTTACAAGATGAAATGCACGAAACAATTTGAGTCATCTGAGTGCTTAAATGAAGGCATGAAGGCCAAACCTAGAGCATCGTTGGATCGTTGCAGTCTGACGTGGAATTTGTTGATATGCACAATTCTATAAATTCATATACTCCTGGTTGCCTAGCCAACCAGGGCCTACTCTATCTCATAGGGCCGTAGTCTATCCCCTCTCTTTCGACGCTGACGTCACACTAGTAGGTTGAGATTTCACATCAGTCCGTACTGATGCGTTCGTAATTGATAGGCTACAGCTCATTTACTATAAATTTTAGAAGCACACATTCAACACATATATTTTCAAAAATAATCTAGCAACCATACAAGTTCTGCACCAAAACATAAGGATTATGACAAAAAATTTTGATGAATTCACTTTATTTCTTTCTCAATGTGGAACTCAATTTGATTGCATTATTTTAACAGAAACATTTTAATTACAAGATCCAAAATTTTTTTCTTTGGAAGGATATGATATGATTCATAGTTATGGTACAAACAACAAAAATGACGAAGTAGTAATTTTCATCAGAAATAAATATAATTATTGTTATAGAATAATAAATATTGGTGGTCATAAGTCTGTTGAGGTAGAAATAACGTCAGACAAACCGAATACTGGTAAAAGTGGTAAAATCTTGATTACTGCTATATACAGATAACCATCTACAGATAGTGAATTGTTTGTAAATCAGCTAGGTGAATATGTAGAACAGAGAAAAAATCTAAGCGTACAGTTACATATGATTATAGGAGACATAAACATAAATCTGTTGGATGTGAATGATCGAATAGTGAATGACTACTTGAATATATTAGGAGAATACAATTACCAGTCTCTCATGGATTAAGTCACGCGAGAACATAATGGTACTGCAAGCTGTATTGATCATTGTTTCAAAACCAATATTACCGATCACTACACCTTGGCAATTAGAATACCAGTATCTTATAGAAGTGAACACAAAGAAACAGAAAAATATAAAACATACTTGAATTACGAAAATGGCAAGAATGATTTGAATGATTTTAACTGGACAAATTTCTACAATATCACAGATTCCCAAATGGCAACATCTTATTTCATTAATTCTCTGAAGAAAATTTTAGATAATAACACTAATACGGTGAAACTGAAAAAAAAGAATATAGGCAGGAAATGTTGGATGACTGAAGGACTCTTACAATCTATCAACTATTAAAACAAGCTCTACAGGAAATTCAAAGAGAATCGAGATTATTATCGTGAAGAATATGAAAATTACAAGAACTATTTAACACATCTTCTTAATATATCTGAAAACAATTATTATAAAGAAAAAATACGAGAAAACAAGGATATAACATTTTTGGAAACAAGTTCGCGAATAACATCAAGCAGTTGCAGAATACTGATGGCACTAAAATAGAAAATGACGTTGAAATAGCAAACATAATGAACAAGTATTACATAAATGTAGGAAAAGAACTATTAAACCATTTAAATACACCCAAAAATGTTGAATTTCCTGTAGAAGCGCAACCGTATTCCATATTCATTAAACCGACCAATCGCGAGGAAATCGAAAATATGATCATGCCAGACATTAAGACAATTGTTCGAGTGTTTTAATGACTTCAAACACTTATAAATTCACAGAAAATTCAATATTTTATACGGAGCATGATGTGAGCATGGCACACACTCCTGTTTGGGGAATAAGTTGTTAACGGAAAAATAGTCAAAAATGCTCGACTGGTGGCGCGTAGATTCAAACAGTGGTCTCTAGAAAAAAATGTGTATGCTCCAGTTGCAATAATGATTATAATTAGAGTACTACTGTCATTGTTCATTGAATTCAACTTCTACGTACAACAACTAGATGTAAGCTCTGCATTTCTATATGGTAAACTGGATACTCCAGTGTTTATGTGTCAACCAGAAGGACTTCAGGAAAATCCTGACTTGATATGTAAGTTAACTAAATCTCTTTATGGACTAAAACAAGCCCTCCAAATGTTGGAACTCTCTTTTTCATGAAAAATTCACTCTTTTAGGTCTTAAACGCTCAAATAGAAATCCATGTTTTTATTATGATGATAACACGTTTCTCTTGATATACAGTGTGACCCACCTAATACCGGAGCACCCTTATAAAATCTATAGTTTTTAACCGATTTCTTTTTTTTTTGTTTCAGCAAAAGGACTATCCGGAGATCTACGTTTACACAAATTTGCAAAATTTTTTCCATGTTAAAAATTGCGAAATATCATTAGCGATTTTTTTCAAAAAAAATCGACCCCACCACTGAATTCAGCATCCTTCAATTAGGTTGAGCGTAAAATTTCATTGAAAAATCTCAATTGGCAACAAAGTTATAACAAGATTAATTTTGATTGCTCACCATTTTTAATGAATATTTCAGACAAATTCTGAGAAGCGGCTACATTGTCAACACAAATATTGGAAATCATTGAAATTTCTGGTAAACATTTGAATTGATAACACAAATTATTATCGAGTTATAACATCTAAAATGGAATTTATCTTGGTATTCATGAAAAGATTCAAAAAATGAAAAATCCATAACGTCGAAAAATCGACTTCTCACAATAATTTTATCATCAACCAAGAATTTTTGTATCAAATAGTAACTTCATCTTAATTTTATCATTTCCAAATGTTCTACCAGCCATCGTACAAATGAGTTCAATAACATACATCATTGAATAATCTCGGTCCATCACTATCTAGCCCTAATCAATACATTTCAAATTTTTGTTGCTCCACTAAACCAACATTAATTGAATACATTTTTTATATTCATTATTCACAGTATTTTTGAGTCCTTCAGGTGTTACTTCCCTACAAGTTTGACGTATTCTTTCACACAACTCCTGTCTTGTTCTTGGGCGGGTTTTGTAAACTTTTTGTACAAGAAAACACTACAAAAAGAAGTCAAGAGGGGTTAAATCGGGGGACCTGGGTGGACAACCATTTAATTCACTTCCTCGACCAATCCAGCGACGAGGAAACTGTTCATTCAGCCATTGTCTGATAATCCTAGCATGATGCACTGGGCAGCCATCTAATTGAAAATGTAGATCATTCCAAAAGGGTACCATTCTAGAGATTATAACTCGTTAATAATTTGTGTTATCAATTCAAATGTAAACCAGGAACCTCATTGATGTCCAACATTTGTGTTGACAATGTTGCCGCGTCTCAGAATTTGTCTGAAATATTCATAAAAAATTATTGTTGTAACTTTGTTGCCAATCGAAATTTGTCAATGAAATTTTGCGCTCAACCTAATTGAAGAATGCTGAATTCAGTGGTGGGGCCGATTTTTTTTTTCAAATCACTAATGATATTTCGCAATTTTCAACATGAAAAAAATAACATAGTCCCTGTAGATTGAAATTTTATTTTGCAAATTTGTGTAAACGTAGATCTCCGGATAGTCCTTTTGCTGAAACAAAAACAAAGGAAATCGGTTAAAAACTATAGATTTTACAATGGTGCTCCGGTCTAAAGTGGGTCACACTGTATATTGATGATATATCATCAAGTTTGTAGGCTTGGAAGTCAACAAATTTTGAAATGAATTGTATATATGTCAAAAGGATCTGATTAGAAGGGTCTTGCAAAAATTCAATATGAATGAGTGTA